TTGTATCAGATCTAAATGTTTCTCCTGTGTTTCTTTTAATCCAAACAACAGAACAGGATTTTAGTAAAGTTAGTGCAGTTGGTCCGAACCCAACCTAGACCTTGCCACTCACAGGCCGAAATCACTATTAAATGTAATCTTTTGCTACCAGAATGCGGAGGAAGAAAGTACCGTCTGCTCTTGTCAAAATAAATTGTTTTACCTCGCTTTTAAAAAATCAATGGATTAGTATATTCCTTCCAGCAAAATCAAGAAATAAAAATTTGGAAATGTAAAACATGCTGTTGAGTCTCTATATAAGGATGCTAACAGAGCATAAATAACAACTTAAATTTTCATTTCAAATGAAAGACACTTTTTAAGAGGGGAAGGGTTAGTAATTTGTTAAAAGCCTCCAATTTAAATTGCTGCAACCACACATAAGGATTTTCTTTCATTTAAAGCCTTTTACAAGAACACTGTAAAGCGTAATTGGTTTCTCCCCTAAATCTAGTCCAAAGTCACCATTTACAACTGAACATCAAAGAAAATTTCAGGCATGATTTTGAAGCTCTTGCACTTTACAAAATGCCGTTTGCAACATTAGATTTCTAACATTTTAACTATCTTTTTTTTTTTGCAGCAATAAACTGCCTTCCTTTCTACCCCTACTCCTCATTTCATTTAATATACAATTTTTCTGAGTATTCTTACCCATCTTTAATTTTAAATATGACAGAAGTATATAATACAGTACTGTAGATCTAGTATGTATATAAGTATTTTAACTAGTTAGACAACTTCTCTTTAAAAGATATTTTATTTTTAGAAATTTGGGGAAAAGCCTTCTTCAGCTGCCAGCAACAAAAATACAAAAGCTAGGTCAATGTTTCCCAAATTTGTTGAGCTGTAAGAATCGTTTTTGACAGTTGTCAAAAATACCCATTCCTGGGTCTCTTTAATGATCTTCTGAATGAGAATCCTTATGTGAAGGGTCTGGGAATCAGTATCTTAAACAAATATCTGCAATCGTTCTTACCAGTAAAGCTTGGAAAATCACACAAAGATCCCAGTCATTGAATAACCTTGAAAACTTGGAACAATTACTGAAAACACATGAACAGAATTTCAAAATCCTCCCTTTCACTGAATACAGTGTTTGTTCACACCTCCTCATCCTCCTTAACTCATCAAGAACCTAGAGGACTTATGTAACTCCTGAAAGCCACTGACACATGGGAGGATCTGGAAATAAAATTCATGAAGAGGAAAAGCAGCTGTTTAACTTAAAAACCGAGGGTGGGAATAGAAGGGAGAGTCATGAATTTATTCTAATTTAAGCATAAGGTATTGATTTGGTTCTACAAATGAAATTGGCCTTATTTTTATTTTCTGTAACTCTGTGCTATAACTCTTATGTATATATAGTGGCTGAGCAAGAAGGAATGAAATCCAGAAATGCAGAATGTACTATCCCTATTTGCTTCCCACGCAGCCAGTCAGTAGCAAGCTGCTCTTACCTCTTCTCCAGCTACTCTCTAGGTCAAGCCAACTTCCCTCCACACTGCTCTGGTGAAAACTCTTACCCACATGTCACCTGTGGGTTAACTCAATGGTTTTCCTTCGATTCTGTTCTTCTTAACACCTGAGATATTAAATAATGTTGATCTTTATGGAGTTTCTACTCCATCTTGATTTCCATAATTCTACTGTAACCCTGTTACTGCCTTCCTTTTTTATCTTCCTGTCTTCACTTTTTCTTTCTACCCCCCTAAGGTATGGTTGTATGGTTTAGTGCCTGCTCTTCTGGTCTCTCCACATTCATTCCCTCAGAGCATGCATCCATTCTCTTGCTTTCAACATTCCTGCCAATGTGATGACAACCTATAATAATAATGAGGTTGGTGATAGTCACAACTGACATCTACTGAGCACTTACTTGTGGGTCGTAACCACTCTACATGAATTACACCATTAAATCCTCATAACTCTCAGAGGTACTATTACTAACCCCATTTTAAGAGATGAAGAAATTGAGTTTTTGCCAAATGTCACTTATAAAAGCCAACACAAGCACCCTCTCATCCTATCTCTTTTGGTCATGGCTCTGGGAATTTTTTCAACGTGGCCCAGATTATTAAAAGAAAAAGGGAAGAAGTGTGAAATATTGGAAAAGATGTGATAATAGTATGCAAGGATACTGACCTATCAAATTTTTTGCTATGGTTTTGTTTTCTGAGTTAGTTTTGAGATGGGCCCATCCTGATTCTATGGTGCCACCAGGAATCATAAGTTTAATAATGTCTCCTAAGAGTCTTGAAGCCAACTGGTCTCTAAGTTTTCTACATTATGTAAAGAGTTGCGGCTTGAGTAAGAGAGTTCTGGTATCACTTACACAACCCATCACATTGTTTTGTGCCAGTCGTAGTATATTGATACCCAGTGTTGTGTTTGGACCAGCTCCTGTGCTCCTTATTATGATTGCAAGATGCCCTTCAACAACAACGGGAAACTTTGAAAAAAACAGAAGTATAAGACCTGGAAATCACACAGCACAGCTGAGGCCACACAGCAAGTTTGCACAGGGCAGCAGGACAGGACATGGCGAGCACAGAAGTGTGCACAGGCTAAGGGTTCTGCTTTTATTGGAGCCAGGGGTGAGGGTCTAAGTCTTAGGGAATTTAAAACATACGAGTGCAAATTTAAAGCTCAGGAAGAGAAAAGACAAGTGATCTAAATGGTCAATTATTGAAATCAACCAAGATTACAAAGGAGCCTCAGTGGGGTACGCGGTGGCCTGAGTCTTTATCTAGTCTTGTGGTTGGCAATGTTTTTTTTTTTTTTTGAGATAACCATCTTTTGTCAGTTGCTTGTATTACAAAAAGAAAAGCCAAGGCTCAGGGCTTACACAACATAGGCCAAGTGCTGTCGAATAACCATCCTAGAGTAGAGTACAGTTCTGTTCATCTCATCCCCTGAAATTGCATCTCTCATAACTGGTTCCTGACGTCATGCAAATTTTTCAGCTAGAAAATGACCCCACTGTGCCTTCTCAATCCTGGTTCCCACCACTGTACTGTATGTGCTCTGTGCTCCAAACAACTGGGCCATTCACTGCTGTGAAAAAGCCCAGTCCTCATCTAGCTCCTTGCCTTTGTCCATACTGTTGCCACCATCTTAGCACCAAGCATACAGTGTCTTTGCAGAGATGGTTGATAAATAAATAAGGAATGGATCTCCAGTGGTCTCCAGGATATGCTACACCCCTCCAATTTTCTTCCTCCGGTTTTTCTACCACAACCCCTCCTATTTAATCAAGCCACACTCCTAAATGCTCCACTCTCTTTATTATCCCACAGGCACACCTCAGGCTTTAGAATCTTAACATGTTAACAGACATTTATGCAGGGTCTACTTTGAGGCAAGTACTGCATGGGGTGTGCGTGAAACAAAAATAAATAGGCTACTTATGTTTCTGCCCTGAAAAAGCACACAATTAGCTACAGAATGAGAAAGGCAGGATGCTGGAGGGTGGTGTTTTGTTGGGAGTGTTAACCTGAAAAATAAAACTGTCAGTTATTTTACTAGCAAAAATGGGTTTAGTAGGGACTAACAGGATTACAATTCGGGACATGCAAGCTATGGCAAAACCATGGGCAAGTTTAACAAACAAAAAAGAGGAACATTACTTTGCATGGAAGAAGAAGGAGGCTGGGAGGGGTTATTCTGAACAAAAGTCCATTGCGGGGGGTGGGGGGAGTCCAGGTGATGACGGTTTCTAATGGGCTGAACGACAGCAGTAGAGATCTTGTAGAAGTACCTGGTAGGAGACACAATATACATCTTTCCCTTGCAGGGGCTGGTAATTGATAATTCTTTCATGCTGATGATTCTTCTTTTGGGGGTCTGTAATTGACAATTCTTCCTGTAATTCAAGTTGAGTGGAAAGGCTTCACCTCCTAACTTCCTTTTCTGTCCTCCTTTCTCCATTTTAGTGAGGTTTCCCTTTATTAATACTCACAGAAGCAAATGATGCCCCAGTTTGTCTTAAAGGTTGAAAAACTGCGCCAAGTGAAGAGCGTGGGAAAGAGGATAGGGCAGCATTCCAGGCAGCAGGAGCAAAGAGAGAGCATTCAAACATTTCCAGCTGCTTAGTGTGACTGGAAGGAAGGTGGCAGGGTTAAGTGGTGGGAAAAGAGGCCAGACTGTCAATAGTTTATTAAGTGGTGCCAGGATTTTCCCTCCCAAAAGTAATAGGTAGCCTTTAATAGATTTTAGATAGGGGAATAATCAGCTATTTCTCTAGAAAGATCAGTCGGGTAGCATTATCAGAGATGGTTTGGAAGCGGGGGGGAAATGGAATTTGGCAAGTGAACTATGAACCTGTTGAAGTGATTGGAGCAGGCAGGAGAAATAGTGACTGAGACGGAAAGCCTCTGTAAAAATCCATCCTACACAGACTTCTCTGATTACATTAGTTTCCAACGTCAACCTCCCGCCCCACCTCCACCCAAATTCCTACAGCACTTGTGAAATCTGTGGCCCAAATTTATGCGCTTAATTATATTTTCTTTTACTCCCTACTTGTTTCTTGTACGTTACTCAAGTCTCTAGATAATACAACAGGCGTTTATGGAACTGGAAGGGCTTGTAAATCGTCCGAGGTCCGATAATGCACTCAGTCGCGCAGGGTAGTAAGGCCCAGCTCACAGCTACTAGAACCGGAGGGCTGATTGAGTCATATCACCTTCTTGCTGATCAAACTGTCGCCCTTCTCCTGAGACGGAGCAGGAGGATACCTCAAGAATGGCTCCATTAAAAAAAAGAAGAAAAAGGTTCCATAGCTATTAGGCCCTCTGCGTCCACCAGAGGGCGCGTCTCCCCAGGTTTCCTCACTGAGGGACGCTTGAACATTCGGTTCTCAAGAGCAAATGAACCCTGCTGTATTGAGGCCCTCTGCGGTTGCCGTAGCCCCAGACAGCACACAGGAAGTAGAATTCGAGAGTCGGGTGAAAAAAATACTAGGGACTCAGAGCGGATGGTCCTCTCCTGCAGTTGCGTACGGTTTCAGGGAATCTGCAGTATTATTTTGGGGCCTCCCTCGCCAGTTCGTTCTCCAGTGGAGATATCTGGCCCTTAGCTCTCACGTCTTTACACAGAGTGTCCCCAGAACTATGGCCGAATACTCGTATGTGAAGTCCACCAAACTCGTGCTCAAGGGAACCAAGGCTAAGAGGTAAGGCCAAAGTTTGTGCGGGAGACGCTCTTTTCTGACAGCACTCCGCCCTCGCCTCCTCTCCCCCGTGGAGAATCTCACAGAAGCCTTAGAGAGCTGTAATTCAGGCTCCCAACCTTTAGGCCTGGCCTCTGGTCCTGGATAGACAGATCCTGCGACTCGGTTCCGGGTACCTGTACAGAGCTGGAGAGACGGGCCGCGGGAGATGCGCTCTGACTGTCGCGCCTTCAAAAGGGAGGAGACAGGAGAGCGGAACCAGTAGCCCAGGAACCACAAGTTTGGGTCCCTTGGTAAGGGAACCAAGACCCTCCAGACCTCCGCAGCCTTAGTCTGATGATGTAGATCATAACAATAACTTCCTTTATTAGAGATACTTATTTTCACCATTGTTTCCCTCCCCCCTAAAAAAATCCTTAATTTTAAAATACAGTATGCAGATGTGGATTTTGATAGGGATATGGGCTCAAATCTGGATTCCCACCAGTTGCTAGTTTTGCAATCTGTGCAAGTTCGTTAGTATCCTTGAGCTTACACTGACTCGTTCATTAGGAAAAATTGATGGTACTGTAAAAGAATTATGAGGATTAAATGAGATAACATGTACAGTAAGTAAGTAGAGTCAGTAACAAGAAGCTTGTAGGGGTGATTTATGATGATTAGAGTTTTAGGAAAAGGTATCTGCTCACTCATATCTCCACCTCTCTTTTAACTGGTAGGTCTGCTTAGAGTTGGTTATTCATACAATTATTAAGCATTTCAGCATGTCTCAGTGATAGTTTTCGGTACTTTTAGGTAAGATGAAAGGAAGTGTTAAGGAGCAATTCTGCCTACGGTTCTGGAATCACAAAGAACTTACCCTGAATAAATCCTAAACTTGTACTGTCTGAATTTACAAGAGAGAGGGGAGAGTCATCTTCTGAAAGCTTACATTTGATGAAAATACAAACAAGTGTGCCTTCTTATAATTCTCACAACTATCAATCATTATCAACACACACAGAGCCACTTTCAAGAACTATTCTAACTATTCTTTAACATAATTTTTTTGAACCACTTTGGTTTTTTTTTATTACTGAGATATAATACATATGTCAGAAATTCACCCTATAAAGTACAATTTTGTGGGTTTTAATGTGTTGACAAAATTCAGCACTATCAAGTTGCCAAACATTTTCATCTTGGGAAGGAAATCCCATGATCATTACCAGTCACTCTCCATTCCACTGTTTCCCTAGACCTGGCAACCACTAATCTGATTTCCATCTACATCAGTTTATTCTGCATATTTCATATAAATGGAGTCATATAGTATGCAGTCTTTGTATCTAGCTTCATCCGTGTTGTAGCATGTATTCATACTCTTATTTTTATGGCTGAATAATATTCTATTGTGTAGTGTAGATAAAATGCGTTTTGTTTTTCCATTCATCAGTTGATGGACATTTGGGTTGTTGCCACTTTTTGGTTATTATGAATAATGCTGCTTTGAATATTCTAATAAAATTTTTATGTGGACGTGTGTTTTGATTTCTGATGTTAGGACATTTGTTTTCATTTCTGGTAACTCTGTGTTTAACTTTTCGAAGAACCCAAACTATTTTATTAAGTGGCTATACCATTTTACATTTTCACCAGCAACATACGAAAGTACAGGTCTTCTCTTAATCCTCAAAACAACCTTAAGAGCTTAGTTAAATTATTATCCTCCTTTTATAGGTGAGAAACTGACAGAGTTTAAGTAAATTTTCCAAAAGTCACAGAGCTAAGAAATGACAATATCAAGATTAAAAAGGCAGTCTGACTTCAGAATCTGTTGTCTTAACTATAACACAATGCATACAGGATCAGAAGTGACTTCTCAATATTAGAAAGAAAGTATATCAGTGTACATAACTAAATCAATAATTCGTATATCTATGTACAGCTTAAAAGATTCTTCTAAGATTGCATCTTGAGATACTTAACATCAGATCAATATTTCTGAACTCATCTATATGAATTATCTCCTGCAGTAAGAAGAAAAAGAGTAAAGAGAAGAAGAGAAAAAGAGAAGAAGATGAAGAAACTCAACTTGATATCGTTGGTAGGTTTCCTATACTTTATTCTGAGAAAAGTTAACATTGGTTGAGATGCCTTTAAAAATATTTTCCTACTTAGGGATAAGTAGTTCAAAGAAACTCAAAAGAACTTGTGACCTATGCATAGTTTTCTTAAAGTTTTCAATATTATTTAAAGTTTTATTTATTGCTTTTATTGCCTGGCACAGTAGATGTCACTGATGCCTTTTTTTCATTATCAGGACAAGGCATGGAGAGAAGAAATATAGCTCATTAGACTACCTAATATCCCACAGATCTGGTACATAATTTTAAAGGCCAGATATAGATAAATATTATTAAATATATTTCACCAATTTTCTTTGAACATGTATGCATTTTTAAAAAGATTTTATTTATCTGAGAGAGAAAGAAGAGAGTACAAGCAGGGGAAAAGGTGGAAGAAGCAGACTTACATAGGGCTCAGTCCCAGGACCCCAGGATTATGACCTGAGCCAAAGGCAGACACTTAACTGACCAAGCCACTCAGGCACCCCTGAACATTTACGCATTTTGATTGTAGAAGCCAGTGATAAGTATGTCCCCAAAGGAACAGTAAAAATAACTCACAATAAAAATGATTCTTTTATATATTATGAAATAAATGAAAATCTTAAACAAAGCATCAAGGTAGCCTGGAAAAGCTACCAGAGATAAACTGACCCAAACACATTTAACCAGCCTGCTTTCTGATCCTTTCCACATCTATACTTTAAAGCAACTTGTTCCTCTCTTAAAACATGGCCAGTCACGTTTTGAAATTTCATAAATTTTGGCTCCTTTACATTTTATATGAAATGGGATAAAGATAATATTCTAGAAAAATCTCACCTTTTTTTGAAATAGCAAATCAACAGTTCTAATATTAATGTAAATATCTTGGATAGATATCTAGAGATGGAATTGCTATGTCAACAAATAGGTGGATATTTAGCGATGTAAGTAATCCCAAGAATTTTCTAAGGTGGTTGCACCATTTTATACTCCCACCAAAAAGTAATACAGTTCTGTTATCAATCTTCCCTCTCAGTCTGTGGTTTGACTTTTAATTTGCTTAAATGTTATTTCTCTGAAAGCAAAAGTTAGATTTTTTTTTCAATTATAGTAAAATTGACATACAACATAGTATTAGTTTTAGGTATACAATATAATGACTTGATATATGTGTATAGAAGTTTTTATAAAACCGTATTTATTATTTTTTTTCTATTATGGCTACCACCTTGCATCTTTAATCTGAGAAACTGTTGCTTAACCCCAAGGTCATGAAGAAATTCTTCCACATTTTCTGTAAGAGACTTCAGTTTTAGTTTTTACATTAGATCTGTGATCTATCTGAAATTAATTTTTGGTCTGGAGTAAATTACGGGTCAGGGTTCTTTTTTCATTTTTTCATAATGATATCCACTTGTTCTAGCACCACTGTTGAATAGACTTTTCTTTCTTCATTAAACTGCCTTGATATCTCTGTAAAAAATCAATTGACTTTATATGGGTTGGTATAATTTTCGACTCTGTGTTCCATTGATTTGTCTGTTGTTCTGATACATTTGTGTTGATTACTGTCATTTCATAATGTTTTGAAATCAGGTGAGGTCTTCAGGGTTCATCCATGTTGTAGCATGTGTCAGAATTTCCTTCCTTTTAAGACTGAATAATACTCCATTGTGTGTATATACTGCATTTCATTTAACCATTCATCTTTCAGTGAACACGTAGGTTACTTCACTGTTGGCCTATTGTGAATAATTCTTCTAGGAATATGGGTGTTCAGATATCTCTTCAAGACTTTGCTTTCTGTTCTTTTGGACATATACCTGGAAGTGGAATTGCTGGATCATATGGTAATTCCATTTTTAATTTTGTGAGAACTGTTTTCCATAGTCACTGTACCATTTTACATTCCCACCAGCAGTGCACAAGGGTTTCGATTTCTCCATATCCTCACCAATATTTGTTATTTCTGGTTCTGTGATAGTAGCCATCCTAGTGGGTATGAAATAGTATCTCATTATGGTTTCAGTCTGTATTTCCTCAGTGAAATGCAATATTGAGTAATTTTAATGTGCTCATTGCTCATTTGTGTATCTTCTTTGGAGAAATACCTATTCAAGTCCTTTGCCCATTTTTTGAAATGGGTTGTGTTATTGTTGAGTTTTAAGAGTTCTTTATATATTCTGGATCTTAATCCCTTAAGATATGTGATGTACAAATATTTCCTTCTATTCTGTGTTGTCTTTTTACTCTCTTGATAGTGTCCTGTGATGCACAAAAGTTTTTCTTTTTTTCTTTCTTTTTTTAGAGGGGGAGACGGATGTGGGGGAGGGGTAAAGGGAGAGGGAATCTTAAGCAGGTTCCAGGCCTAGTCCAGAGCCTGACTTGGGGCTCAATCTCACAACCCTGAGATCACTACCTAAGCTGCAATCAAGAGTCAGATTCATAACTGACTGAGGCACCCAGGTGCCCCCAAAGTTATTCATTTTGATGAGTCTAATTGGTCTAATTTTTCTTTTGTTGTTTGTGCCTTTGGTGTCATATCTAAGAAATGATTGCCAAATCCCATTTTGTGAGGTTTCTACCATATGTTTTCTTATAAGAGTTTTATGGTTTTAGCTCTTAAATTTAGGTCTTTGATCCATTTTGAGTTAATTTATATATATGAAATTAGGTAAAAGTCCAACTTAATGTAAGTGAAATTTTACTAATTTTTTGTTGTGTATTAAAAGCCTTTCTTGTTTAGATAAATAGGAAATCTTATGCACTGTGATAAACTCAATTTTTAAAAACTTTGTAATTTGGATGCTTTCAAACTAATACATAAGTAGATAGGAGAATATAATGAATTTTCCATGTGTCCATACCCCCAGCATTCCTTCTTTTGCCAATCTTATTTCACTTACATACTTGCTTACTCTGAGATAATATCCTATCCACAGTTTTTTTCTGGAGAATAAAATTTATTTTAGAGAGAGTGTGTGCATGAGTGGGAGGCGGGACAGAGGGAGAGGGAGAGAATCTCAAGCAGACTCCCTCCCGCCCTACTGCGGGGGCTCAATCCCTGAGATCATGACCCGAGCTGAAATTAAGAGTTGGTTGCTCAATGGGCTGAGCTACCCAGGAGCCCCATTTTTTTTTCTGAAGAATTTTAAAGTATAACAGAATATTATGTCATTCTACCCATATATACATAAATGTGCAGTGCTGATAAAGTCAGTCTCACTCTCTTTCCTTCTGTTTTGCTCTCTTACTTTTTTTTAAGATTTTTATTTATTTATTTGACAGAGAGAGAATACAAGCAGAGGGAGTGGGAGAGGGAGAAGCAGGCTCCCTGCTCAGCAGGGCTCAATCCTGGGACCCTCAGATCATGATCTGAGCCAAAGGCAGATCCTTAACCAACTGAGTCACCCAAGCGCCCTGCCGTCTCTTTTAATACATAAGAGTATATCACTATCAGACCTAATAAAATTATCCAGAGTTCCTAATGTCATCTAATATCTTATTAATGACTGACACATTTCTCCTTTAGCTAATGGACAATTTAGCTTCATAATCAACAGTGAAAATCTGAAAGCTTTTCGTCTAAGATCAAGATTAAGACAAGGATACCTAGTCTTGCTGCTTTTACTCAACATAGTATTGGCAGCCCTAGCCAAAGCAAGTAGGCAAAAAAGAAAGGAAGAAAAGGTATCCAAATCAGAGAGGGAGGAATAAAACTGTCACTATTGGCAGATGACATGATCTTATACATAGAAAACCCTAAAGATTGCACCAAAAAACCATTAGAACTAATAAATGAATTCAGTAAAGTTGCAGGATATAAAATCAACATACAAAAATCTGTTACATTTCTATACATTAATACTTCATTACCAGAAAGAGAAATAAGAAAACTAATCCTATTTACAGTTGTACCAAAGACAACAAAATACCTAGGAATAAATTTAACCAAGGATGTGATAGATCTGTACATTGAAAGTATGACATTGATAAAAGAATTTGAAGAAGACACATATAAATGGAAAGATATTCCATGTTCATTGATCAGAAGAATTAAATTGTTAAAATACTTACACTACCTCAAAGCAATCTACAGATTCAATGCAATCTCTGTCAAAAAAGTGGCATTTTTCACGAATAATGAACAAACAATCCTCAAATTTGTAAGGAACCACAGAAGATCCCAGATAGCTAGCAGTCTTAAGAAAGAAGAACTAGGCTGGAGGTACCACACTTCTGATTTCAAACAATACTACAAAAATACACTAATCAAAACAGTTTGGTATTAGCATAAAAACAATACATAGATCAATAGAACAAAAAGTCCAGCAATAAACTGATGCAATAAACATAGGAGCACATCTATCTTTTCAAATTAGTGTTTTTGTTTTCTTTGGGTAAATACCCAGTAGTGGAATTTCAGGATCATGTAGTGATTCTATTTTTAATTTTGTGAGGAAACTCCATACTATTTTCCACAGTGGTTGCACCAATTTGCAATCCTACAAGGATTCCTTTTTCTCCATGTCATTTCACATCTTCAACACTTATTATTGTCTTATTTTGTTTTGTTTTAGCCATTACAGCAGGTGTAAGGTAGTATCTCATTGTGGTTTTAATTTGCATTTCCCTGATGATTAGTCATGTTAAGCATGTTCTGTGTGTCTGTTGGCTATCTATGTCTTATTTGGAAAAATTTCTGTTCAGGTCCTCGATCAATTTTTTAATTGGATTATTTGCTTTTTTGGGTATTGAGTTGTAAAAGTTCTTTATATAGTTTGAATATTAACTCCTTATTGGATATATCATTTGTAACTAGCTTCTTCCATTCTGTAGGTTGTCTTTGTTTTGTTAATGGTTTCCTTCACTGTGGGAAAGCTTTTTGTTTTGGTGTAGTCTCAGTAGTTTAATTTTGCTTTTGTTTCCCTTGCCAGAGGAGACAGATATAAGAAAAACGTTTCTACGGCTGATGTCAAAGAATTAGGAGGGATACTTCCTGTGTTTTCTCAGAAATTTTATGGTTTCAGGTCTCACATTTAGGTCTTTAATCTATTTTGAGTTTATTTTTGTATATGGTATAAGAAAGGGGTCCAGTTTTCCCAGCACCATTTGTTGAAGATGGTCTTTTCCCCATTCTGTATTCTTGCCTTCTTTGTCATAAATTAATTTACCGTACAAGTGTTGGTTTATTTCTAGACACTCATTTCTGTTCCATTGATCTGTATGTTTGTATTTGTCAGTACCATAATGCTTTGTAGTATATCTTGAAATGTGGGATTGTGATACCTCCAGCTTTATCCTTTTTCAGGATTGCTTTGGCTATTTGGGATCTTTTGTGGTTCCATACAAGTTTTAGGATTATTCTAGTTCTGTGAAAAATGTTATTGGTATTTTGATAGAGCTTGTATTGAATGTGCAGCACGAGTAGGTGGATGGGAGAAATAGGTGAAGGGGAATTAAGAGTACACTTATCTTGATGAGCACTGAGAAATGTATAGAATCGCTGAGTCATTATATTATACATATGAAACTAATATAATACCATTTGTTAATTATATTTGAATTAAAATGAATTAAAAAAGAAACCCATTTCTGTTCATGTATATAGAATGCTCATATTGTTTCTAATCTAAAATCATGGTTAAGAATACTGTCCTAGACCACAAAAAAAACCGAAATCTTGCCATTTGCAACATGATGAGCTAGAGAGCATTATGTTAAGTTAGAAAAAAATAAATACCATATGATTTTCACTCATATGTGGAAGTCAGGAGACAAAACAGATAAACATAGGAAAAAAGAGAAAGAGAGAGAGAGAGAGACAAACCAGAAAACAGACTCTTAATTACAGAGAACAAACTGAAGGTTGCCAGAGGGGAGGTGGGCTTGAAAATGGGTTAAATGGGTGAAGGATATTGAGGACTGCACTTAATGTGATAAGCAGAGTGTTATAAGTGATGAATTACTAAATTCTGTACCTGTAATTAATATTACGCTGGATGTCAACTAACTGGAATTTCAGTAAAAACTTGAAAAAAATTAAAAAAGAATACTATGTTAGAAAGTCTTTTGGGGGGTGCCTGGGTGGCTCAGTGGGTTAGGCATCTGCCTTGGTTGGGGTCGGGTCATGATCCCAGGGTCTTGGGATTGAGCCTCGCGTTGGGCTGTTTGCTCAGTGGGGAGCCTGCTTCCCCCCTCTCTCTGCCTGCTGCTCTGCCTACTTGTGATCTCTCTCTCTGTCAAATAAATAAAATCTTTAAAAAAAAAAAAGTCTTTGGAGGGATATGTAAGGGACAGGTTATAATAGTCATTGCCTCTAGAAAGCAGTCATGGATGGCTGGGGAGGAAATCAAAGAGACTGTTCTCCATCATTTTGTGCCTTCACATGCACTGCTTTTTTATATTTTGAAAAGAATGTAATCTTGATTTTGGGTGTTGGTCACCTATATCGATATATACTGACATGCAAATGAATGTATGTAAAATGGATGAAATCTGTATAAGGTTCATAGTTTGTATAAAGGATAATTTCCTGGTTTGGACAGTGTACTATAATTATGTAAGATATTACCACAGGGAGAAGTGAATAAAGGACATATGAGATCTCTCTGTATTATTTCTTATAACTGCAAAATAAAAAGTTTTTAAAAATAAGTTATAACAACAAGAACAACAAATAAGAACCTTGTGTCAAATCTAAAATTAAATTTAAAATATTGATTTTATTTTTTAGGAATCTGGTGGACAGTAACAAATTTTGGTGAAATATCAGGAACCATAGCAATTGAAATGGATAAAGGAACCTACATACATGCACTTGACAACGGACTTTTTACACTGGGAGCTCCACATAAAGAAGGTTTGTGTCTAGTAGAAACAGTGGAAGGGAAAAGACCACTTAAAGTATGTATTTTAGGGATGCCTGGGTGGCTCAGTCAGTTAAGCGTCTGTCTTTAATTCAGGTCAGGATCCCAGGCTCCTGGGATCGAGTCCTATATAGGGCTCCTTGCTCAGCAGAGAGCCTGCTTCTCCCTCTGCCTGCTGCTCCCTCTGCTTGTGCTCTCTCTCTGTCTCTCTCAAATAAAATTTTATAAAAAACATTTTAAAAAGCGTATATTTTATGACAGTCATTCACTTAGGCCAAATTCTAACATCTCAAGTATAGTACAAGGAATAAATCCATTGCATGGATCCACTCCTTTTTTCCTTCCTTAATATTTACCAATTATTGGCAAATCCCTCTTTCCATTATAAGCCTGTGAAAACATTCTTTATGGTTCCAGAAAAGTATCAATTGAAATCAAAAGCAACATAAATAATTGAATTGAAAAAAAAAATTGAATTGAAAGGGAAACATAGTTGAGTCAAAGATTTGATATCTTTATTCTTTAGACCTTTTGCCAAAACTAACCTGGAACATTATTAACAGTTTGAAGTTTTGTTATCCCTTCTGGTCCACCAGAATAAGCACTAATGAGACGTGAAGTAATCAGAAGATAAAAAGCAGTATCTTTAAGTATGAATGACCATCCCTTGAATAAGTTACAGCATTTAGTTTTTTAAATATTAAATGCTGGGGTGCCTGGATGGCTCAGTCGTTAAGCGTCTGCCTTCAGCTCTGGTCATGATCCCAGGGTCCTCGGATTGAGCCCCGCATTGGGCTCCCTGCTCGGCGGGAAGCCTGCTTCTCCCTCTCCCACTCCCCCTGCTTGTATTCCCTCTATCACTGTTTCTCTCTCTGTCAAATAAATAAACAAAATCTTTTAAAAATAAATAAATATTAAATGCTTGTTTATATACCGAGTGCATTTTAAAACAAAAAGAAAATATAAGTGATTAAGCATCATGCTGACTTACCTATTAAGTATGTAAAACTAACACTGTAGTTATAAGAAGATAAAGTAGAACTTGATACTCTAATCTGAATAGTGTATTATGATTATATCAAAATATTATAGTATTCTTATATTTAATTTTAAAAGAAAAACTTTTTTTTTAAAGATTTTTTTTTTTTAATTTATTTAACAGAGAGATACACAGAGAAGGAACACAAGCAGGGGGAATGGGAGAGGGAGAAGCAGACTTCCCACCAAGCAGGGAGCCCAATGTGGGATTCGATCCCAGGACCCTGGGATCATGGCCTGAGCCGAAGGCAGACGCTTAATGACTGAGCCACCCAGGTTCCCCAAAAGAAAACTTTTTTTAAAGCTGAAGATTATTTTTATGTGTATATTGGTAACAAATGTCAAATTTATTTTAAAATATTTTTTTCCTCTATAGTTGATGAAGGCCCTAGTCCTCCAGAGCAGTTTACAGCTGTCAAATTGTCTGATTCCAGGTAAGTAAGTTGAACTATAATTAATCACCTTTTATTTTTTTTAATTTAATTTTATTTACTGAAAATTTTCTATATATAGCTAATTAAGTAAGCTAACTTAAGTTCACAGACCAATTTTGATGTAAAAAGCAAAATAATCTTTTTGAAAGTATATTTTGTGACATTTTAAAAATATGACATTTATATATGCTATATTTAGGTATTATTAAATTTCATTTGTAACAACTGTGTCTTTGAAAGAGAATGAAAGCAGGGCACCTTGGTGGCTCAGTTGGTTGAACCTTCAGTTCAGGTCATAATCCTGGAGTCCTGGGATCAAGTCCCACATCAGGCTCTCTGCTTAGCAGAGAGTCTGCTTCTCCCTCTGACCCTATCCTTCTCATGCTGTCTCTCTCTCTCTCTCTCTCTCTCATTCTCTCTCTCTCAAATAAGTAAAATCTTAAAAGAAAAGAGAGAGAATGAAAGCTCCAAATAAAAACATACCCTATGATTCCTACCAATATATAATACTAGACTAGAAAAAAATGAGTATTAATAATGTCACAGACCAAATAAGATTAGAAAGATCATGCAAAGAAAATAGACATAAGACAAAACCTGGTTTGATGTTACTATGATACATAAACTCACTTGTCAGAAGTCAAGAGATAAACAAAAAAAAGAATAAAGGAATATTATTAAAATTATTAAAATCAGTAAAGAATGTTACATAGTCATGAAGACCAAAAGAATATTCTGTTTTTACAATCATTTTATAAGCTGACCTTTTTTATTCTCACAGTGCCAAAGTATAGAATGATACTTTGGGTAGTGCATAGAGAAATTGAATTTCAGTATGCTAATAATTGGCTGCATCAACATGATAATGATTTGTATTATATGATCATTAACCTGTAGATGAATATAAAATCAATCCTTGGCATCACAAGGGACTGGGTAAGCTAAAAGTTAAGAATCATATCTTTTTCTTTAAAAAACATCACATGAAGATTATCATTCCTCTACTCTGAGTGGCCAATAAGTACAGTGAAAGACTTTTTTAACTTTTTTATTTTTTTAATATTTTATTTATTTATTTATTTACTTTGGAGAGAGCAAGTGAGCACTGGGCGGGGGTTAGGGAGAGGGAGAAGCAGACTCCCTGCTGAGTGGGGAGCACAGAGCCCACTATGGGGCTTGTGGGGCTCTATCCCAGGACCACAAGATCACTTGAAGTCAGTGTCTAAAGTCAGACACTGAACTGACTGAGCCACCCAGGTGCCTGAGAGACTTTTAAAGAATAAAAGCAGAAGAAAATCAATAAACTCAAACTTCTTTACAGTTGAAAACAAAAGATATAAAATAGGCAAATGAGGAAAATATTTGCAACAGCATTAACAGCAATGAGTTTTTATTCTTTGTACGTACAGGATTCATAACTCTAAGGAAAACAGTAAAATACCAATAGAAAAATGGACAAAAAGATAAAACCTAAAAAGGAAAGGAAGTGCAAATGTCACTTTACGATGGTTAGGAGATAAATTAAATAGGATACTATTTTTCCTGTATCTGATATTCTAATTTTTTCTTAAAAAAGGCATAATGTTAATAGATCCATGGTGAAATGATAACTCTCCTGATTTGAGGTGTGAATGTTAAGTTGATACAGAGGAAAGCAGTTTGATACCATGTAATAGGAGCTTTATAAGTACAATATAAAATTATATAAATAGAACTACACTGTCCAATATGGTAGTCACTAGCCACATATCACATGGCTTTTGAAAATTTGGACTATGGCTAGCCTGGATTTTTATACACACACATTATTTTTATGTTCCATATTTAATTTTCTTGCTCTCAGTTTTTAACATTTCCTTTTTGTTAATCTAAAGAATTGCCCTGAAATCTGGCTATGGAAAATACCTAGGTATTAATTCAGATGGACTTGTTGTGGGGCGTTCAGATGCAATTGGACCAAGAGAACAATGGGAACCAGTCTTTCAAGATGTAAGTGCTATTATTGTTCATAAAAGCTTCTTGTCAATGTAAGATAGTCTTTAATATTCAGTGAGAATATATAGTCTAAAAAAAAAAACAGAAGTACAGTGCAATAATATAACCCACTTAATTGAAGAAAACCAATATGAACTCATAACCTTAAAAAGGTCTTGAAAATCAGTGCAACACAGCAAAAGAAATAATCAAACAAAGTGAAAAGACAAACTATAGGATGAGAAAAAATATTTGCAAACCATTTTTCTGATAAGGGGTTAATATCCAAAATATATAAAGAGCTGATACAACTCAATAGCAAAGAAACAAATAACCCAATTAAAAAATGGGCAAAGACCTTTTTCCCAGAAAAGATATATGAAAGGCCAACAGGTACATGAAAAGATGCTCAACATCACTAGTCATTAGAGAAATGCAAATCAGAAGCACAGTAAGGTATCACTTCATACCTGTTACAATGGCCCTCTTCAAAAAGATGAGATAAATGCTAGGAGGATGTGGAGAAAAGGGAACCTTCATGCACTGCTGGTGGGAATGCAAACTGATGCAGCCACTGTGGAAAATAGTATGGAGGTTCCTCAAAAAATTAAAAATAGAATTATTGTTAGATCCAACAATCCCACTTGTGAAAATACATCCAAAAGAAACCAAAAAAACTAACTTAAAACAATACTTGCACCCCAAGTTCATACTGGCATTACTTTTAAGAGTAACTATGGAAATAATCTAAATGTCCACTGATAGATAAATGGATAAAGAAGTTGTGTTATATATATATGCAATGGAATATTGTTCTGCCATAAAAGATGAGTAAATCTTGCCATTTACAACAACAAATGGACCTTGCTAAGTAAAATAAATCAGAGAAAGACAGACAACTGTATGATCTCACTTATATATGGATCTTAAAAACAAAACAAAACAAAACACAACTCAGAAAAAGACATCAGACTTGTGGTTGGTTACCAGAGTAGCAGGTGTTGGGATTAGGAATTAGAGGAAGAAGGTGGTCAAAAGGTACAAACTTCCAGTTACAGGATAAATATAAGTGCCATGGATATAATGTATAACATGATTACTTCAGCTAACTCTGCTGTATGATATACAGGAAAGTTGTTAAGAGACTAAATCCTGAGTTCTCATCACAAGGAAAAAAATCGTTTTCCTTTTATGCTTTCTTTTTGTTGTTAACTGCATGAGATAATGGATGTTAACCGAAACTTATTAAGATAATTATTTCACAGTAAGTGTTAAGCCAAATCATTATGCTATACACCTTAAATTTACGCAATGATTATGTCAATTATATCTCAGTAAAACTGGGGGAGGAAATAGTGCAAAAAAGTAGCAGTAGTACCTCTGCCCACCATCATTTCTGTCCAAAACTCTCTGACGTTGATTCTTGAAGTTCTGAGCAGTAAATTCAAAAGCACCAAAAGCTAGCTCTTATAAATTTTTATATTTTCTAATTATGAAGAAAATCTTACTTAAAACACTATTATTTGAGTAAATTACTATGCATTATATAATTTTTTATTATCTTTAAAAGCTGATTATTTTTCAAACAGAACTAATTCAGTTATATCCTCAATTGATCTTTAAGGCTGAAGGAAACAATGCTATTTCATCTAGTTAGAATTTAGTCCTACTAATAGTATATACTAAAAATATTTATTGGGTTATTTTTGAGTAGTAAGATTATAGGTGATTTTGGTTTTCTTTTCTGTATGTTTTTTTATTTTCTGTATTTTCTCCAAATTCTCTTTACTGATTACTTTTACAGTTGGGGCTAAGGGGCAGAATTCATTTCATTCTCAAGACTTAAGAATTCTTTTACAGGGGCGCCTGAGTGGCTCAGTGGGTTAAAGCCTCTGCCTTTGGCTCAGGTCATGATCCCAGGGTCCTGGGATCGAGCCCCGCATCAGGCTCTCTGCTCGGCGGGGAGCCTGCTTCCTCCTCTCTCTGCCTGCCTCTCTGCCTACTTGTGATCTCTGTCTGTCAAATAAATAAATAAAATCTTAAAAAAAAAAAATTCTTTTGCAGTAGTCTTGTAACTTTTTTGCTATTTTTTATATAGGGGAAAATGGCTTTATTGGCCTCAAATAGCTGCTTTATTAGATGCAATGAAGCAGGTGATATAGAAGCAAAGAGTAAAACAGCAGGAGAAGAAGAAATGATAAAGGTAATTGTGATCTATTTTGTTCTTTTTTATAAATTGCTTTCTTCTTAATTTTTCTATGACTAATACATGTCACATATATGATGTGACCATATCTCTTAATAATGTTCAATAGTCATTTGCTATTACTTTAAAGATGTAATGCATAGTTTTTTATACTATGCTCCAAATAAACTTTATTATAAAAAGCTTAATTATAAATCCTATAACCGATGGCTTATTTGTACCAGGTGTTAGAGAAATTATTATATCTTACCTCCATGTATTAGTACCTTTTTCTGAGTAGTTCCACATGCTTTTTAGTACTCTATTTTTTTTTTTTGCTTGCTTGCATTTTAAAATTTAATAGATATGTTCACATGGTTCAAAATTTTAAAAATATAAGCATATAAAGACATGACTCCCATCCTTCTCTAGCCTACCAGTTCTTAATAAAAATATATGTTTATAATTTTCTACTTTTTTACAATAAAGTTAGGCTCCTGCATATACTCCTTTAGACCTTTATTTTCTTTTTTTCCTTAATGTTTTTATCTTGGAGATTTTCCCTTATCAATTACTATGCAGAAAATTTTCTCTTTTTTAATAGCTATATAATATTCCATTTTAGGGATATGCCTTAATTTATTTAGTCAGTTCCTCATAAATGCTGATTTAGGTTACTTCCAGTCTTTTGCTCTTAGAACCAGTGCTGTAACACAAAACTTTAGATATGCATCATTCTGTAGGTGTACAGGTATATCTGAGGAAAAAGTCCCCAAAACAGAATTACAAGGTAATTATGTAATTATAATCACATTAAAAAAAACCACACACACAAACCAAAACAGAAGCCAGTAGCTGCGTACTCTGCTGAATGTGACTCCTGCACTCTTCTTGAATCTTTTTTAATTCCTGTGAGGTACCTGTTATCTTAACTTTACTGATGAGGAGAGAGACTTTGAGCCTCCTTATATCCTCACCTGCTATAGTCATCATGAAACTCACACAGCTAGATCGGATAGAGACAGGATGTGTACCCAGACCCAGCTGACTGGAAACTACTCTGACACTCCATACCATACTTCTTGTCATTAGAAAAGATCAGGTCATTAGAAAAATGCTGGTGGATTTCTCACTTACCTAAAAGTATGATTTTTGAAGACAATGCAAATAAAGTGCAGCATTTTGTACTTTTATGGGGGGAAAAAAACTGTGGTGTATTTAATTATAACTGTTTTCATATGATGTATCTGTCACATTTCCCAAGGGTCTGTTTGGTTAGTCAAGTACCTGGAAGCTCTGAGCAGTGATAATCCAGAACTCCTTCTACCTTGCATTTTACTTCATTGGCTCTGCTAATCTGAATCAGCCATGCACCTTTGTAGACTATCAAGACACATTACCTCCTGCCAAAAGTAGTATTGTCACAGACCCTGGACAGTAGTAATTTCCCCAGGTCTGCTAGGACTCTGCTACCCAAACTTGTCACACAGGTAACACTAGGACATGCCTCATTGGTCAGCACTTTCTAAGAAGCCTTGGAATTGGACTCTGAGCCACAAAGATGACTTTGGAGATGTAAATCCTTGGAGATGTAAATTCTGTCCTCTGTGTTGCAGATTGCCAGTTCCTGAGGACTGAATTATGTCCACTTCCTGTCCGACTCAGTAGATCTTACTTGCTATATCAGTTTATGGCATTGATAGTAATTATCTGTCACAACTTAGGAGGATACAAGGAAGAATTAAAAGGAGTGGATTCCAATTAAGTGAAAGTACTCTGTGTCATGTTAAAAGTTTAAATGGATTTGGGAATAGCTATGCAAATTAAAATAGCTATCTTAAACTTTCAGTGTTATAAAAAATAAAAATATGATAATTGGAATATTTACTTTGAGGCCAAACTAATTAAATTATTGCCTAATTGGTCAGCAGGACCTGATCTATAAAATGTTTTTCAAATAATTTTGTCTTTTATATCTGATGCAAAGGCTCTAGAGAAACATAACCGATTATTTATATAAATTATACATATATATAAATAAAAACATATCTAGAACCTGTCTTTTTCTGAATTTGATTGCTAAGTTGTTTTCTTCGTTTGCATAAGAAATCACCTACAGGGTTCTTAGGAAATAAGTAAAGTGGGGAAGAGGGGAAATAGATGTATAATCTGTTGGGTTCTCTATTGTCCAGATTAGATCCTGTGCTGAAAGAGAAACTAAGAAAAAAGATGATATTCCAGAAGAAGACAAAGGAAATGTTAAACAGTGTGAAATCAATTACGTGTATGTATTCTTTTCCTTTTAGACCCTACAGATTTGGCAACAAAGTACTCCTCAAGACCCGTAAAATAAAATAACCCAAAGGACAAGGGGCAGCATAAAATAGACTCTAGGACAAAGAACAATACTAAATGCTTTTCTTTTCACAGAGCTTCACTTTTCCTAATTACCCTGCTGACTTTCAAAGCTAAAGTCACTTGGGTTAGTCTTTTCTCCTTATTCATTAATAGAATGACTATAGCTTATCACTACATAATTCCAACCAAATGTTGTCCCACAGGCAGGATTCAGGGACTCCAGCCAACATGCCTTAGTGGAACTGGGGCTTTGTAGTTTGCTGCCCAAACAACTGCCCTCTTCATGGAAGAACACCAAGGTCATCTTTGCAGTTGAAAAGCTGTATGTTTTTAAAGAAATACAATAGTTTTGTTTTTTTTAAATAAATGAAAAACTTTAGAAATATTTGTAAATTCATGAGTAAACATGTATAATCAAAGTTTGAGATGATTTTCAAGAAAGGCATTTTCTTAACAGAAAGAAATTTCAGAGCTTCCAAGACCACAAACTTAAAATAAGTAAAGAAGACAGTAAAATTCTCAAAAAGGCCCGGAAAGATGGATTTTTGCATGAAACACTTCTGGACAGGTAGGTATATTTTTACTTTTTTATAACTATTTTCAGGATCCAATAGAAATGGCATATATATAATCAGTGTTCTTTTTCAAATACTACCGTTCTTAAATTTTTGTCTCCTAATTTATGAACATAGTAATATTACCTAAAAAGGACATCGTAAGTCTAGGAAAAGATCACCCAAGAAACAATATCTAGTAGTAGCCAAATTCCAAAAACTTATATATTTTGTTATAAGGCATTCAGATTTGACTAAAACCCCTTCATAAATTTATTTAACATCTTTTCATAACTATTAGAAGGGCTAGAAAGAAGTAGTTTAATTTAAAAACTCAGTGGGTTCTAGTAGAATAGTACAGGTTCCTAAAAATGAGAAAAAAACAGATCAGTTTAAAAATTACTAAGTATAAAATAAAATAAAATTGAAGCATTTTCATTAAGTTGAATCTAGCAGTGTACAGGATATTTATCATAGCACATTGTTAATATTTATCTAATACTATTCTTAGGTAAGTAATGTCTTAGATCTATAACAAAAAAGTGGGTAGAGAGGTTTAGCTGTAAGTTTATAACCATAAATAAGTGCCAGATTGAAAAAGAATTTGGTAATCTGCCACTCCTTCAAGTCCTATGTTGCAAAATTAGTCCTAAAACATTTCTTCACACTACTGATAAAGATAATGCTTCATCATATTTCTTCTTAACTAGTTGATCAACTTGATACCAGAAGTTAGTAAGTGATACAAGAATTTTCCCTGCTGAACAAAGCATGTATTTAGTTTTAAGAAATCAAGAATAGGATGTTAAAAAAAAAAAAATCAGGATATGGACACAAAAGAAATAAGTTGTATGTCTTGTTAACTTTTATCACTCATGAAAATAGAACATTGCCACCCTGTTAAATAGAAGTTTAGGGCATGCTTAAATTCAGAGGCAATTAAAATTGCTGTTGTGGATTGAAAAAGCTCTTAGGCAACATTTCTTAAAGATTATGAAAGACTTTCATAAGAGTAGAATGTATTTAGTATGAAACAATATTGAAAAGTTAATTTTAATTAAAATATTTTAAAGTAAGTAGTATGGCAATAACCAAAATTGAAAATACAATTTCTGAGTGTGCGCATGTATTTAATAGGTGACTATATATGGCATGTGTTACATAATTTTTATTTGTCTTTGTTTAAACAGGAGAGCCAAATTGAAAGCTGATAGATACTGCAAATGACCAGAATTGTGTTTCTTTCTTCTCCTATTTGTTTTTTTCTGAATAAAATAATCAGTGGAAGTGTTTTTATAGAGCTCTTGGGCTGTTCAGGAGTTACTGCTGAACTAGAGCTAGTTTAAACAAGATTAATCAAGTTTAATCGAGAGTCCCCAAGGGTTTACTTTTTAGTTAACTGTAGTGTTTCACATGGAATTGAAACAGAGTACACACTGAACATACCATAGAATCTTTTCTCTTTTCTAGGTTTTCTGTCATAAAGCAAGAGATGATACTCTGTGAACCCTGTGTGTCTTGTGCAGCTTATGGGATCTCTTATTGCTTTACAGTCTTACTTTATACCACTGATGCTTAATTAGGACCTTTAAATGGAAGTTAGAAGCTCCCAATCCAGTCAACAAGGCTTTGATTCTGCCTCCTAAATCCAAATCACACAAGCCAAACAGATATCAAACAAAGTGGGTGGGAAGAGAGAAAGAAATCAGGTATTAGGCAGTAGGATGGGAATAAGAAACATTACAAGAGAAGTAGGCTCTGAACGGTGAATAATAAGAAAATTGGGAAAATTCCCTACGTAGAGACAGGATTGGATGAGAATGGAGCTATTAAAGAGGTACAGATACTATACATTGCTGAGGTCTGCTATGCTGAGACACTTTTATTCCTAGCCTGTATCTCTCTGAATTCCTGAACACAGTATTCCAGATGTCACCTGACCCTGTGAGTGTTCCAGAATGCAGGTTGTATATCAGATGCCTGGGCTCCACCCCTGGGAATTCTGCTTCAGAAGGACTGAGTCTGGCTGATGCATCTCTATGTTTTTATGATTCCCCGTGGATGATGCACAGCCAGGGCTGAGACCTGGCCTAAGTGCCAGACCTGTCTAGTTCTCAGCCATTGTATTCCATTGGTCACTAGCTCTGGAGTTAGACAGCCACTCTCCAGCAAGTAAGGTAAGCTTACCAGTAGCAACCTTATAAAGGAGCTCTTGCTGTAAATCTAGTCCTAAATTGTCATTCCATTTCAGTAGCTGGTTATCCCCCACCCCCCCATCTTGTGTTCTTCTTCCTCTGATCCTTAGGCTAGGAACATGCTTACTACTTAGACAGCTGAAAACAGTGGTTCTCAACCGGGGACCAGTGTGGCTCTAAGGGGTTGTCACAGCTGAGAGAAGAGGTGCTACTGGCATTTAGGGTTACAGACTGGGAATGCTGCTTAACATCCCACAAGGCACAGGACAGTACCCCCCCATAAGAAAAAATTTTCCAGCCCAAGATAGTAACTGCCAAGTTTCTGACACCTGCCCTTGGACTTAGTCTGTTTCTTGCTTTTGTCAGCTCCCAGCCCCTAAAAATAAATAGTAGTTCAAATTTATATATGTAAGAATTACCTGAGGTACCTGTAGATTTTCAAGAATCATCCATAAAGATGCCAGCTTAGCAAGTCTAGGATTGTGTCCTAGAATTGACATTTTAACTAGCACTCAATGTAATTCTGAAGCAAATGATCTGAAATATACTTTGAGAAACACTACCCTCAAGAGATTGAAGTCTTGCCTCCAACACTAGCTCAGTTCCTGAGACCATCTGCCAGCTGACTGATTTCCCTGGAACAAGCATTCATTCTATCTGCCTCAATTTCAGAACATAGTGTATTCCTGGATTCCCTGTCACCATGCTCACCCTCAAGCTCCCCCAGGTCTTGTCCTTTTCAGAGAGCAAAACTAATTTCAGGTCCTGATACCTGGGAAGATAGATTAAAAATATGCACTGCCTGCCCTTTGGAGTTTATGCGCTACTGAAGGAGGAGAGCAAGAAAAAATCACAGGTAATAGATAAGTGTTCTTCCCAATTTCTATCATTACACTTGACTCCAACCCTCATTATAGCACTGAAGGTAATCTGGCAGAGTGACAGGAGTCAAGAATAATATATCTAAATATTGTCGTCTGGTCCACATTTTTCTTCTTGTACAAAAGGATGTCATGAAACTTGTTTAAAGCACTGTCAAAGTCAAGATGGATTCTGGTCAAGAATTCCCCTGATTTACCAGTCCCGTAGCCATGTCAAAAAGGCTTTATATAGGGACGCCTGGGTGGCTCAGTTGGTTAAGCAGCTGCCTTCGGCTCAGGTCATGATCCCAGCGTCCTGGGATCGAGTCCCACATCGGGCTCCTTGCTTGGCGGGGAGCCTGCTTCTCCCTCTGCCTGCCATTCTGTCTGCCTGTGCTTGCTCTCTCTCCTTCTCTCTCTGACAAAAAAAAAAAAAAAAAAAAAAAAAAAAAAGGCTTTATATATGATAAAAAACAATAACCAAAGAAAAAGTTCCCCTATACCTATATTTTTTTGACTGCTCACATTTCAGATCATTTCAGTTGTTCTTTTCTTCAAGTTTACTGACTCTTTTTTATCGTCTCCAAATTGCTGTTACACACATCTATTGATTTTTAAATCTCAAGACATTATTTTTCATTTCTAGAATCTATTTGATCCTATTGTTGTTAATAGATTCTATTTCTGCTGAAATTTCCTATCCATTTACTGCTTTCCTATCCATTTATTTCTTTGTTTTTGGATAGAGTTACAATAGCTTCTTAAAAATTCTTGTCTACTGGGCACCTGGGTGGCTCAGTGGGTTAAAGCCTCTGCCTTCGTTTCTGGTCATGATCCCAGGGTCCTCGGATCGAGCCCTGCATCAGGCTCTCAGCTCAGCGGGGAGCCTGCTTCCTCCTCTCTCTCTGCCTACTTGTGATTTCCGTCTGTCAAATAAATAAAAAATCTTAAGGAAAAAAAAAAATTCTTGTCTACTGATTCCAACATCTGGGTCATCTTAGAGTCCGTCTCCACTGATGGTTGAGTATGTTTCTTCATATATCTGATGAGATTATATCATAGACATTGTGAATAAAACATTGTAGAAACTGTGCATTCTATGTTGTTGTTCTGAAGAGTGATTTTTTATGTTTAGTAGGCAGTTAACTTGGTGGATCTGAAGCTCCAAATTCTGTCTCCCTTATGGTGGGCAACAGCTGAAATATCTGTTCAGTTCTTTTTGTTTTAGCTGGGCTTCTTGAAGTCAGTCCCAAGGATGTGGAGTTCAGAGATCAGTGAGAGATTTGGGCAGTGTGGCTAATATCTTCTGTGGCTCTCTCCTCTTCAGGATTTCTTTCTCACTTTCCAGACTCTGGTCACTCTGAACTCTGTACTCTGATTCTTCAACTAGTAATGACTTAAGCTTTCTATATAATTATTCTTAGTGGCACTGGGTCTGTCTTAAGTTGAAAAGATGTTAAATATATGTTTTCCCTCTTACTAGTTCTTCTCGAGTTTCTGCATGTTTTTGGTCATTCTCCATTGCCTTTAGATAATTTTTAATATTTTATCCGAAGTTTAATTTCGTGTGTGTGAGAGGGCTGGTCTAGCACAAGCTACTCCATCAACCATGATCTGCTCAAACTCTCATTAGTTTCTTGCCCTCTCCTCTCCCAGTTAAGGACCTGCTTGGGCTTTCCTGGGTATAGACACAAAACTCTAACATTCTCTAGAAAGAAGTTGATCATTAAAATAAATGAATATATTTATACCTCTTAAGATAGGCCTGAATTCTGAAAATGAACTCATCACACCTGATGGCCCAATACTATCCAAATACCATGCAATTCCTGGGTCACTCCCAGTCTAGATGTCAATCAGTCATGGCTTCCAACTTACTGTTCTAGCAGGAATTATATTTTTTCAGTTATTCTAAACTCTTAAGACACAGAAGGACATATTAAAACATTCTACCACATTTCATTAACCAAATTAGTAAGACAGGATAGCTTTTATACTGTGACTTTCTCTTCATGATACTTTTTTAAATGGCATTATAATATTAGCCTGAGGGCCTTAATTCAGGTAACTTCCACTGTAATTTTTTCAGGCTCACTCCTGTTGAAATCCATTACATTTAATGAAAAGATGAAAAACAAAATGTGAAAAAAAATTCCACAACTATTTCCTCTTTCCTCACCAACCTATTAGCTTACAGTTAATTTTTAAAATAAATATTCATATTTCATTAAGGGAACTTTATGATTGTTTTGCTTTTTTGATTTTTGATGGCAGGTTTTGCTTTATGACATCTCCTATTCACTTCACCCCAGAAAGTCTCTGACACTATTTGGTGTATTTCTGTTTAATTTTATGCCACTGGACTATTTCTCTTAAATATTGCTGAGGTTTATTTTCTATGATGGAGAAACAATATGCCATCTTTCCATTTAGCTTTGTGTTTCAGTGCTGCCCTTGTATTTCATAAAGGATAGATTTTCAGAGAGCATAACCGGGACTTACAAATTAAGATCTCTAGGTGTTTATTTTTCTTACCATGTTTTGCAAATCTAATGAGGTTTTGCAATCCTGTTCTGAGTGCTGCTAGTAGAAAAGAAGGGGTGTAGCACTACTTGTGTTTATTTTTCCATCATGCAGTTTCCTAATTCTGGTCCTTAGAAACTAAGTGGAACTGTAAGGAAGAGAACAAAGAAAACAAAGCACACCTCATTATTCCTTTAAAAAGGTGAAAACCTAAATATAAGTAGATTCCAAGGGAAGGAATCAAGTCATGACTTCTGTTAGTTCCTTAACTTCTACCCGACAAAATTAAGTTGCATAGCTAGTCAATCAAATGGAAAAAAAATAGGCGATGCTTTAAGCTTCTAATGTCTTATTTATTCTTTTTCTTTATTATTCCTTATGTTGGTATAAGTATTAGTACCTATTTTTTTATTCTGCTAAGTATATTCCACCAAGGTTTTTTGTTTGTTTGCTTTGTTTTTTAACTGGTAGCTGAAAAAGCCCAGGGATATACCTAGGCTTGGGAAAACTTAAAATTAAGATAATAGTTTAGCAGCCCACCAGCCTTCATTCAGCTTGATATTACCTGTATATATAAAATGACTTTCTCAAATGTGGTGCTTACTTAGGAAAGAACAGTGGACTTAAGACCAACCTAGGCTGTTCTACAGCACCTCAACCCTAAATCCTAGTTTAAATCAGCTTGCACAGCAGCAGGAATGTTTCAGTTTCCTATTGTTGTGTAGACAAATAATTTCCCTATCTGTCTACGGAAACAGAACCTTCTTGCCTATTCCCTTGTTCTTCATTTTTAGTCCAAAAATCCTCTCTAGAAGACCTTCTATATATCCCATTACTGCTGCTTCTGCCTCTCCACCTGTGATGACCAACTTTGTTTCTCCATGTTCCTTTTACTACTCTAGCCTCATTTCAAACCAGTGTGCCCTTTCCATAATATAGGAAAATGGACAAATATTTAATCATTTAACAAAAGGGTAAGCAAAAAATTCTAATAGACAAATTTTCTCTTGACTCTCTCATGAGAATGCCCCTTCTGATTTTTTCCACGCTGAATTCAGCTCTCATTCCAGTGCACCCAGAGTTCGAGAATCATATACTATGGCCCCAAGTATCAGTTTTGAAACTTCTCATCATCCTGACCCATCAGCTCAGTCTTTGAAGCACATACCATCCATACCATTACCACTGCAGTTCTGCACTGCTCTTCATCAGTGTCCTGACCCTCCTGAAATCTGGCTAGTAGTCCTGTCTTCATGGAGTCTCCCATCTCAGTTTCATTGACTCCAGCATTCATGCTATTGTGACCTTTCTTTGATCTGCCTTAAAAAATTCTGTCCTCTTGGCTCAGCTGATCTATTACTCCACCTTAAATTAACAACAGACCAGGGGTACCTGAGTGGCTCTGTGGGTTAAAGCCTCTGCCTTCAGCTCAGGTCATGATCCCGCGTCCTGGGATCGAGCCCCACATCGGGTTCTATCAGCGAGGAGCCTGCTTCCTCCTCTCTCTGCCTGCCTCTCTGCCTACTTGTGATCTCTGTCAAATAAATAAAAAAAAAAACAAAACTTTATAAATTAACAACAGACCAGCTGGGTTAAACATGCTTTTTGCTCCACTCTCTTCTGAAATTAGAAATCCTGATCTGTATCTCTGAATGACCCTCCAAGAGCATCCCTTTACCAGTACACTTTCCATTTAAAATGTTTTGAAATATACTTTCTCAGTTCCAAGCCCTCTCTGTTATTAATAGATTTAATTTTCTTGAAGTTAGTTTTATTTCTAAATCTAATAAATTATTCTTTTTAATACATTACTTAATAGTTACTGCATTCATAGAACATAAAATACCATTTCTCTATTCAATACTAACATTTTCCTATATAATAAATACATTAGTTCTAAGAAATTCCACATCTTGCCCAGTTCTAATAGTAAACAAGATCAGAGTTTTCTCTTTAATATTAGAAAATAACTGATCAATTTGCGATGTGATATAAATAAGAAATGAAAGATGAAAAGTCATCTCACATGTCTAAGAACACATTCACTGCTCTTTCTTCTTTTTCGTCCCACCATTGTTGCAGCCCCTACCCAGTAGTTGAGGGGAATGGTGCTGATATCCCCACCATTTAACTACATAGAGTTACAAACTAACAAGTACTAAATGTACTGACTTCTTTCTTCCTATCTTTTTTCTGGGATTTTTTCACCTCATTTTAAACCCAAGGGAAGCGAGGGAGTTTAACCTTGATTTTATAGAACCAGGGCTTCTACTTTCAGTAAAATAGTACTCCTTAATAAAACAGTATACTAGATAAAATATTTGTAAATATCTCTTGAAACATCACTTATCCACATAAAGTAATTTCTAGATACCAAACAAAGGGAAAGCAGGAACATCAGAGACCAATGAGTACCAAACTCACTCTCACCTAAAGGTTTCTACCAAATCCTGGAGACTTTGAGCTTTGGCTTTGACAGGAGCCCAAGAAATGGGATGTAGAAGCCTGTTTTCACCCATGAGTGACTACAAAGGGCTATACCTTCAAGGATAACAGTGTCTTCCATTATAGTTCTTTTTTATAGAATATGTCAGAACTATGGACTTTTTTTATGGTTTTGCGATCTGGCCTGGGAATTTAGTGTAGTGGTTAGGTATATCTAAAGTCAGAAAACCTAAGTAGTTACTTACCATAAGTCTCAGATTTCTCAACCATAGATGGGAATAATAGCAGCACTTTCTTCATATTTGTATGGAAAATGCAT